CGGGGGGAGAGAGAGAGAGAGAGAGAGAGAGAGAGAGAGAGAGAGAGAGAGAAGGGCTTCAGTGTAGTCTAGATGGGAGGGTCCCAGGAGGAAGGAGAGGGAGGAGAGCGACAGAGAGAGTCAGAGGGAGAGGCTGCACAACCCTGATCTTCGGTCAGTCACTTCATTCTATTTTTTTGGTTTTGGACAGTGCTATCCGGGATTGTTTCCCCAAGTTGTTATGCCTGGTAAGTACCTACCGTCATCACTGTCATCTCTTACTCACACACATGACCTCTTCACCTGCCCTCAAGCCTTCCAGATCTAGCCTAGATTACATGTTTGCATGAGAGTCTCATCCATTTTAGAGGACATGGGTTCCTGAAAAAGGCAAGAATATTCACCCTGGGAAAAAAATATCCGTAAAAGCACACAACACACAGACACACACACACACACACACACACACACACACACGTGGGCATATAAGAGCAGAGACTTCCAGCATCCCATGGTGAAGACACCCGATGGCATTTCCAAGGCCATTTCACATTCACAACTGGCCTCTGACGCTTGGTCCCCCTGGGTCATTTCATCCCATTGGTCATCCAGCTGCACTTCTCTAGTCTCCACTGCTGACTTCCTCTTCCCTTCTCCAGGATGGCCAAGAGTTACCTCAGACAATTTTTGTTGATATTGACAGCCCTGAGTTAATACAACCTTGCAAGGTGAGTAAGAAGGATCAAGCAAGATGTGGGGTATTGCAAGGGAGACTTTGTCTACCACATAGATGAAAGTTGATTTTTGATTCCAGGAAAGCTATCAACGATCTGCAACCCTACAGCGTCTAGTCGAGCAGTTCCTGCAACAGTAAGTATCACTGGGACCAGGAAGAAGGGGCAGACTGGGACACGCTGGGGCACCCAAGTGCAGGTTGGCTCGCAGGAGTTTTCAAGTCTCATTTGTGACCCAGACCCCAAAGATCGCCTGTCCCCTTTTTCCCCCACAGGTATTACTTGATCTATGACTGTGGAGATCGGCAGGGTCTCCTTGGGGCTTACCATGACGAGGCCTGCTTCTCCCTGACCGTTCCCTTCAACCCCAAGGACCCAGCCCCGTGAGTATCAGAGCTCAGTCTCCTGTCTGAGGCCATGTGGCCAGCTCCCGGAAATGCCTGCACTGGCTAGACCACCGTCTCCTGTTCCTCTTTTTCTCCTAGGAGCAGCTTGTGGGAGTACTTCCAAAATAGCAGGAATATCAAAATGCTCAAGGACCCCTGTAAGTGTGTGATGGGGAAGACTGGACAGGGGAAGTGACCGTGAAGGGGATAATCACAGTGGCCAAGGCCAGGGTGTGGCAGCTTTGGACCTTGTTTCTCTTCCCTGCTGCAGACTTGCGGGGGCAGCTGCTGAAGCACACAAAGCGTGACATTGTGGACTTCCTCAGTGTGTTGCCCAAAACTCAGCATGACCTCCACTCCTTCCTGGTGGACTTGTGGTTCCAGACGGTGAGCACCTGCTTCCTCCCTCGGGCAGGCCCAGAAAGCCGGAGGTGGGTAGGAGGTTAAGGAGGGTCCTGAGCACCTGAGTTCTTCCTTTTCAGGAAACGATGCTCTTCTTTTCTGTCAACGGGGTGTTCAAGGAAGGTGAGTGCCTGTAGCGCCCCCTTCCCTCATCTCTCACTGCTCCTCCCCGCTGGCTGGGCTCCCTCTTGTAACTCTCCCAGCTGCCCTGCTTTGGCTTTGGGTCTCTTCCTTCCTAGTCTTCCCTCTGTGTTTTCCCACCCCCGCTCTACCCACAGACCATCCTAATATGACCTAGGTCCATACCCATGCCTAAGTCCATGCCCACTGCCCCGCACAGCTCGGGCGTGCGGTGTAAGGACACAGGCTGAGGAATTTGACAGCTCTCAACCCGGCTGAGGAATTTGACAGCTCTCAGCCCACGTCCTGACTCTGTGAATTTGGGCAGGTTACTTAACCCTTCAGTTTTCCCATGTCCAAAATTGTGGTTAATAATTCCCGTCTCTTGGGCTACCGAGGAACAGGAATCAAGTGAACTTGTGGTTTCACAGGGCCCTGCACATAAGAGGGGCCCTGTCACCGGGAGCGGATTGTTTCTATTGTTGCCCTCCCCATTTCTGTCACACCCTCCTGCCTCCAAGTGAACAGTTGTCCCAGTCTGGGCTCCTTGAATGTGAGTATCAAGTAAGACTCTGACTGGGGGACTCCATGTGAGCATGTAAAGCATGTGTGACTCTGAAGGCATATTGTTCCTTGTTGTTTTGAAGTGGAAGGAAAGTCCCCCAGCTCTGTTCTTGCCTTCACTCGAACCTTCATCGCTATCCCTGGCAGCAATTCCAGGTAAGTGTTGAGTTGTGGGTGGGAGCACTCATTTCAGCCTAGGCCCAGTGTTTTGTGGGAATGTGGTGGTGCAGTCCTTGGAGCAGTCTCAGTATTGTGAAAAGCCAACAGGTCGTTCCAAGGAGCAGTCTAGCCTCGTGTTTAAGAGGGTGGGCTCGGGAGTCGGAACACAGGGTTTTTTTCTGACCCCAACACTCGCTGCCTGTGTGACCTTGATCAAGTTACTTGACCTCTCTGTGATTCGGTGCCTTCCACTGAAAATGGGGATGAGCGCATCCTCTCCTTTGGGCTGTTGTACTGGGTAAATGCGTTGGAGTTAAATCTACAAATCTAGCAAAGCTGGCAGATGGCCTCTCTAAAGGTAGGCTCTGTGGGAGGGTTAGAAGATAAGAGCCAAGGAAGCTGGGATCCAGGCACAGTAAGGATATGGAAGGTATCTGTTTGCTGAGTGGCAGTGATTAAGAAGGATCCGGCTGCTGGGGGTGTGTGGGGTTGTCTATCTGCCCAGTGGCTTGAGGGTACATTTTTTCCTCCAGTCTATGCATCGTGAATGATGAGCTGTCTGTGAGGGATGCCAGCCCCAAAGAGACCCAGAGCACCTTCTCCATTCCAAAGTCCTCATCCTCGTCCAGCTCTGAGCCCGCCCTTTCCCCGGAGCAGCAGGAAATGGTGCAGGCTTTCTCCGTCCAGTCTGGGATGAAACTCGAGTGGTCTCAGAAGTGAGTGCTGCGTGTACATGGAAATGGGGGAGGGAGGAAGAGTTGGGACAGCGGCAGAGTGAGTAATGGAAACTGACATGCAATTTGGAAAGATAACTATGTGGCTAATTTGCTTCCAAAAGGAAGTGGACCCGTGGAAAAGGTATTGTACTTCTTTCTTTTCACACTGATATTTATAACGAATTTCTAAACTGGCATAGTGCTCAAATGACAAAGAACCCACCACAACAAACTACTAGAACTAATAAACAAGATCGGCGAGGCTGCAGGGCACAATATGCAAAAATCATTTGTATTTCTATGTGCCTGCAGTCAACGATGCAAAAATTAAATAAAGAAAGCATGTCTATTTACAGTAGCACCAAAAGGTGTAAAATCCGTAGAAACAAATGAAACAAAAGAAGCAGGAATCTTATACCTTTAAATGTGCAACTCATTGCTGGAAAAAAAAAATTAAAGAAGATTTAAATAAACGGAAAAACTCCCCATGTCCATAAGATTGGAAGGCTGAATGTTGTTAAGATGGCGATACTACCCAGAACAGTGTGCAGATTCAACACGATCCCGATCATAATCCCACGTAGCTTATTTGCAAAAATTGTCAAGGTAATCGTAAAATTCTTGTGGAAATGCAGTGGACCCAAAACAGTGAAAACAATCTTGAAAGAGAAGAACAAAGTTAGAGGATGCAATTCCCAATTTCAGTAAGCAGTAATCAAGACTGTGTGGTGCTGGCATATAGACAAGACCTGTGAATCAATGGAATAGCATTGAGTGGCTGCAAATAATCCCTCACCTTTACAGTCAATTGATTATCATTCAAGGTGCTGGAAACAAAACAAAAAAACAAAAACAGTGGAGGGAAAAAAATCATCTGTTCAACAAATGGTGCTAGGACAAGTGGATACTCACTTACGAGATAATGAAATTTGACCCCTAACTCAACGCCATATGTGAACATTGACTGAAATAGACCAAGGATCTAAAAAGTAAGAGCTAAAACGACACAACTCTTAGAAGAAAAGGGTGTAAACCTTCACCACCTAGAATTAGGCAACTGTCACTTGTATATGAAACCAAAAGTACAAGCATCCAAAGGAGGAAAAAATAGGCAACTTGAACTTTGTTAAAGTTAAAAGCTGTTGTGCATCAACGGCCATTCTTAAGAAAGTGAAAAACCAAACAAACAGAATGAGAGACCCAATTTGCAAATCACATATCTGACAAGAATACAACTCAACAATAATAGATTATCTATCTATCTATCATCTATCATCTATCTATCTATCTATCTATCTATCTATCTATCTATCTATCTATCTATCTATCTATCTATCTATCTATCTATCGTTTTTGAGTCAGAGTCTCACTCTGTCGCCCAGACTGGAGTGCAGTGGCACGCTCCCGGCCACCGCAGCCTCGACCTGCTGGGCTCCGACGATCCTTCCGCCTCAGCCTTCCGAGTAGCTGGAACTACAGGCGCGCGCTAACCACGCCCAGCTAATTTTTGATTTATTGTAGAGACGCGGTCTCGCCAAGTTGCCCGGGTGGATCTCGAACCCGCGGGCTCAGGCAGTCCACTCACCTCGGTCTCCCAAAGTGCTGGGATTACAAGCTGAGCCACCAAGCCTGGCCAGATAACTCAATTTTAAAACGAGCAAAGGATTTGAATAGGCATTTCTCTGATGAAGATATACAAATGGCCAAACAAGCACATGAAAAACTTCTTGGCATCGTTAGTCATTAGGGAAATGCAAATCAAACCACAATGAGTTACCTCTTCACACCCAAGAGGGTGGCTTTAATCAGTAAAACAAAAGATTACAAGTGTCTGTGAGAATATGGAGAAGTTGAAAAATCATGAGTTACTGATGAGAACATGAAATGGAGCTGTCGCTGGGGACACCATTTTGGAAGTTCCTCAAAATATTAAATATGGAGTTACCATGTGACCCAAGAATCCCACTCCTAAGTATAAACCAAGAGCAATGAAAATATGTGAGGAGGACCAAACAAACAAACAAGCAAAAAACCAGTTTATTTATGAACGATTGTGTATTTATTCTTACATGCTTAAACTTAGTCACCTTCAGAGTACTCTCCATTTGATGCGATACACCTATGGAGACACTTTCTCCACTGCTCAGAACAGTTTTTGAGCTCATCAATTTTTATGCCTTTTAGTGCTTCTGCCTTTTTTTTTGTTTCACCTCTTATACATCGGCAAATCGTTTCCCTTTGAGGACTTTTTCCATTCGGGAAAACAAAAGAAGAATTCACTAGGGGCGAGATCGCGTGAATAGGGAGGGTGGGGCACAGAAGCCATGCCCATTTTGGTCAAAAGCTGCTGAGCACTTAGCGCAGAGTGGGCAGGTGCACCCGTAAATCACCCATCATGAAATGGGAAACTGCGTTGAAAGAATTGCAAAATAATAAATAAATAAGTAAAATAAAAACACTGAAACCGAAGGCAGCCTTGCACAACAATGCTAGCTGGTACGCTGATGCCGATGGGTTCCGAGAACCCTTACCTAATGGGGGAAGCCTGTACTACAAGGGACCTGCCCTCCCAAAACCAGTTACGTTTTTTCTTGGGTCCCCCTTGTATGTCCATTCAAAAACTTGCATATGCATGTTAATTATCCATAATAGCCAAAAAGTAGAAACAACTCATCTGTCCTTTAGCTGATGCCCTTGATAAGTCAATCAATTAAGGTGGAACATATACACAGCGGCATATTATTGGACTATCATTCAGTCAAAAAAAAAATAAAATATATATATATATATAGTTCTGATATACGCTCTGACATGGATGAACCTTCAAATGAGCCTCTAAGTGAAAGAAGCCATTCACAAAAGGCCACATGAGGTATGATTCCATTTCTGTGAAATGTTCAGAACAGACAAATCCTTGGAGACCAAAAGCAGAGTAATGGTTGCCAGGGTCTGGGGAAAGAGAGAGAATAGAGAGTGATCTCTGACAGTTAGGTAGCTTCTCTTTGAGGTGATAAAAGTATTTTGGAATTAGATGGTTGTGATGGTTGCACAATCTCGTGAATATCCTTAAAAGCACTGAATTGCACACTTCAAAATGGTGAAAGCTGTCTACGTGCATTATATCTCAATAAAAAGGAAACTTGTGCTTCTAAATTTCCTTTTGCTGTTTTCTTGAGCATCTCTCTTTGCCAATGTGTGTTAAGCGCCCTTGTTCATTTGAACATCGCTACTCTTCTGCTTTGAATTCTAGTGGGCATGAATGTCAGTGACAGACGTTCTGGTCTTCACTAGGTCTTTCTTCATCATTAAAGTACTGCTCATATTGGTTCATGTGTCCCAGCACAAAGGTAGCATAAGTTAAGTGGTGGCATTGCGTGGTCAGCGTGTCCGTCCTGGGGTAGTAATGGAGATCACCTGCTCTTCTCCCACACCAGGTGCCTTCAGGACAATGAGTGGAACTACACCAAAGCTGGCCAGGTCTTCATTATGCTCCAGGTGAGGTCTGGGAATCAAGTGGCTAGAAGATGCATGTCCCTGGGCCGTCAGGAAGGCCAATAAGATGCAGGCTGGGCAGCCTGGGCATGGAACTCAGAGTACCTGGCTCCTCTGACGTCCCAACTCCTTTTCTTTACTGCCTTTAGGCCGAGGGCAAGGTCCCGGAGGAGGCCTTCAAACACACCTCCTAAAAGGAGCCTTGGATGTCTTCTTTGTCTTCATCGACATCTTTGTTTCTCTTTCCACGAGCCTAATGCCACACCCATGACTGGGGTTGGAGGCCTGGCTGTCCAAGAAGCCAAAGCTAACTTGTAGGCCAAGTAACACAACCAGCCAAACAGCCAGTTCTGTGAGTTTTCCCCACTCAGGATCCCCGCCTATTTTCATAATAAAGAGTGACATTACACGTTGTGTGTTGTGTGTTATGTGTCCTGGATTGCTCTTCCCCTGCCTCCACCATGAGCTAGCAGGGCCAAGACCGAAAGGCCCTGCGCCCCCACCCCCACCCCAGTGCATCCCTGGCTGGCCATATCCGAAACATCAGGCTTCCTTCACAGGTAGTTTGTCAATAAATCCTGATGAGAAAGGGCACATGCTACTTCCAGAGATTGGCCTTCGGAGACAGTGGCACTCTCTCAGAGAGGCTCTATCTGGAGGTCCACAGAAGCAAGCTTGTTACCTGGCACAACAGGGACTTTGCGGGGGATGCCCACTGGCTATGAGGGCTGAGGAAGGAAGGAAGGAAGGAAGGAAGGAAGGAAGGAAGGAAGGAAGGAAGGAAGGAAGGAAGGAAGGAAGGAAGGAAGGAG